TTTTTTTTTTTACATGAATCATGCTTCTGAATGGACACACTGTAAATGCTTGTACTGTCTGTTTTTGCTCCAGGATCAGCCAACATTAATGACCGTAGCATGCTGGGCTCCCGAGACAGTGAGTTGGCAGTATTTGTGGAAGATGAAGAGAGGGTCCCATCCATCATGGGAGGGGAGGAATACCAGGCAGGACCACTGACACTCGCTCTACGCAAAGAGTGCTTCAGGTCAGGGCAAAAGCCTCTTGATGACTTATTAGCAACAATACAAATGTGAGAGTGAGACCTCTAAGTATATAGGCTTCTTTTTACACACAGACAAGCAAAAATATTTGATCCTGCATGGGAAACCTGTGCAGTTTTGTCATTACTTAACCATATTTTTTCTGTTATTTAAATATTTTTGCCCTTTTCTTTGCTGTACCAGGGTTCTTGTTGGAGCTGCTTCAGACCCCAGTATAAATATTGACGATCCAATCAGTGATGAGTTCTTCTTCTTGGTTTGGAATGACACTGCTAAAACGAATGTTAACATTTATGACAAGGTGTGAATTGACCCAAAAACGTTTTTATATATATATCTAATTGCATCAATATGTATTTTCACTTCTCTCACCGCTCTTTGTTCTTCTTGGCTCTGTGGCCCTACTGCATCACAGGTGTTCAAGTGCCAGCCCTGCAACAGTGTCCATAGCATGCAAGCCCTGAGGGACTATTTAAACGTGGCTCGTCTCTGTGACACAGACCCCGAGCAGGCCAAAGAGGAACTAAAGGCCATCCGAGGAGTGCTGGTCCATTTCCCCTTAAAGTTCCTGTGTGAGGAAAACTTGCTGCCTCCACGGAACACTAAAGAAGGCATGGCTCCTGTAGGGCTGTGGACATAAGCAGCAGCTCAGCCATGTTCAGACCACTACACGACAATGCAACTGCTGCTGTACTGCAACCATCTTTCCTGTAGTCAGCACAGTAAACAAAAGGAGTTACAGCACCAGCACTTGAATGGTGAGAGGAGGAGAGAGGTGTTACCCTTACCAAATTTATTAATGATCCACTTATGATTACTTTGTCTTTTTGATTGACAATGGGCTAATGTGACTGATGTTAGCTACTGACATGCAAATTTTACGATGTCCTATCTATATTAGGTTGTGCTGACCAATTTGTTTGTGATGTCTGCTTTATAATAGCTTCAGTGTGATCTGATCTGCATGTCTGGCGGCGGTGCAGAGCACAGATATATGAATGTATGAGTCAGGAGAGGATTGCAAGGTTGTATTAGAAATCAAGCATCTCACATGATCTGGGAACATAGTGTACATTTATTGGTGCACGATTTTTGGGTGGGTGGGTGACTCTCTCTCTCTCTGTCTCTTTTCTCTCACTCTCTCCCTCTGAGGCTTCACCTCTCACTGCAGTGCCAGAAAATCTGTCAGAACATTTGTGGTTGTTATGGTGACGGATATAAAGAGATGACTGGATTGTAGCTGAAATAAAGACTGGATAGGGCAGAATAGGGAGAGTGCTGATAAGAGGTACAACTTACTAAATCAGGATGATGCACTGGGAAAAAGGAAGCTAATATTCTGCTAGGGCTGCTGACCATTTCTGGATATATGATCAGGTGGGGAAACTGTGAGAGCGGAAAGAAAAGCAGAACAAGATAATTAAAGGGTGTTAGATTTGATTTCCTGCTAATTGTTGCATTTTTTTTAAGTCTCCATGACACCCTAGTGAATTTTTTTTCCCACCATACTGTCGACAGTCCAGAACAGAACATTCCACTGCCCACTTGAGACCACTGAATATCTCAGCTATTTTTATGTTGGGTCCAGAATCTTTCATGTGTACCGTATGTTACATTTGCTCACAGACATAGCCGTTTGTTTAGGTCCACTATTTTTAGCCATAACGCTGACTTGAGTTATGACGTGATGTCGTTTTCACATTCTCACTGATTGCCATTTTGGGGCATCACGGGGCTGTTTTTTTGAAATGTCATTCCCTTGAGCTGTGACCAAGCCGTGAATGCTGTTGGGAAGTCTTTAAATGTCTTCTACTGAATACATTTGTAGCATTGCTGGTGAAAATAGAGAGGAAACCGTCCCTCTTTTGTGTCATTGCATTGACTGAGATATCATGTAATAATACAGCAGGTAAGGTACAGTATGTGCCTTAGAAAAACAGGAATTGGATTCTAAGGGTTGATGGAAAACCAAAGCGAGGGGGGATGTTCCTTTTTCTGCAACTTTAGATTGTGCATTCGGGCAAAACTGTAACTCATTTTTCAATATCTGAAGCACTGGGCCAAGTTTTATTACATGCACTTTCATCACAAGTTTTTTACAGCAACAAACAGCAGAAGGGGACATAAAGGCCAGTCTGTAAAACTTGTGAATGAGACTCTGTTTTATATTCCTAGCCTTGTGCTTGTGTTATGACTACTGTGCGTGCGTGTGTGTGTTCTGGAGGAGGGTTGAGCCCTTGCACATGTTTCTTTTAAAGAGACCAGATAAAAGATGACCTAGAACAATGCAATGACAACAAATCATAGTTAAGTGAATAAACCAGACTGTTGTATAAGCTTCTGACACACACCTATGAGTGAAAAACATTACCTTGGCAGTTCCATTGCAAAGCTGTCTGTGAATGGGACAGGTGCCCCATGCGACCAAGTCTACATGAAGTGTCTCTCACAGGATTGTTGTTCAGTTAAAGCATCTGTGTTTAGAAATATGGATGCTTACTTATGTAAGATATTAAAAGACACTATAAGCCCTTATATATAGCCCATATATATATTTTCTACCCTCTTTCTTGCAGCCCAAAGTGGTTGTCTTAACTGGTGTTCCTTTTAAGTTCTGCAGAAATGCCTGTAATATACCGAAAAGTGACCTTATAACGTTTCTCTCATGAATTTTATTTTTAATAGACCAATAATTAGCATTCCCAAACCACTTTTATGAATTTATTACTCATTGAAATGTGTTTGTATTCATCCCTGAGAGTCACTGTGTGAAACCTTGTCTCTGTAGATCAATGTCATTACCTTATAATTACTAATGTATAGGGTTACTAACACTCAGGGGTAGAAAGCAATGACCAATATTCTTAGTCTTGTTAGTGCAATTATGAGCAACTTGTATTTTATTGTTTTTTTTTTAACATGAACTTGTTTTTTATATCCAAATATCTACTTTTAAAATGTACTTTTTTCAGCCTTCTCTTGTATTACTTTTGTAAATGTTAGTGCTTTTTTAAAAAGAAAAGACTGCATACAAACTGGATTTAATATATTAAAAAAATAAAATGTTCAAATGTGTATCAGCATGCATTTCTATTCTGTATGAAATCTTAATGCAACTAAAATGACTGTCTAGACGTGTCTATCACATGGCAAGAGAAACAGAAAAGGGGAAATGTTAATTGTTTATATCTAAACTACTTTTGTCACCATGGAAGCAATATCCTTTGTTAGCTGGATATCCTTTAAGCAAATAGTTACTCTAAGAGAGAGCATGTGCTTTACACAGGAAACTGGTATTCGTGGCATGAAAGCTTAATGTTCACTAAATGACTAATGCATTGTTCAGGTTATTGCCATACAGTCTGTTTTTTTT